TCCTTCGACTCCATCTACTCGGACCCCATCTTGGAGGCCTCCACTCTTGCGTGTAGCCGCTCCCAGGGCCACCCTTCTTTCGGCATCAACCAAACATATTAATACTATGTGTGCGTCTGCACCCCAGCGGCGAGGCGCGCGCTGAGAAGTCTTATAGTATATGTTCGGTGATGGGCGCTTACTGGCCGTACCGCTCGGGAAAACGATATACTACGAGATGGTTGCTCTACGCCTCCGCGGAGGACACATAGTACTAGTATGTCCTTGTGCGCTCCCTTCCCCTTCGGCGCGCCCGATTAGCCGGACTCTGGCCATCGATGCCAGCGGCGCCCACGTTCTGCGTTGGGCCGGCCGGCGGGCCGCCCGTGGGCGACCCTGGGCCGCCTGCGACCGAGCGCCGGCGCAGCGGGGGCTCGCCGCCGCTGCGCCGCGTGAGGCCCCCCCCGCCCCCGCGCGCGCGCCCTGAGGGCCTCGGATCCCAGACTCGGCTGCACGTAGGAGTAACCTTTTCGCCGGAGTGACCGTTGGTGCGGGCACAGCGTGTTCCTTAGACCATTGGTCGTCATGCGATAGCAGCGTCTTGCGCGCTCGGGTATGGTCTCCCGGGAAGTCGCGCACCAAAGGTCACTCTCAGACTTAGGGCCACTCTTGCGTGTAGCCGGCAGACCCCTCCGCAGACCCCCTCCAGTCATGGAAAAAGGCAGCTTTCAATTTTGCATTTCCGGCTCTTGGGTGCCCTACGACTCAGGATGCAAAACCGGTCCAGGGGGAATGGGTCGAGACCTCTGGGGGTCGACGTTGTGCCAAATTGGTGGCGCCAGGGGTTGGGTTCGCGTCCTGGAAGCACGTCAGGCATTGAGAGAATGCCCACCCAGACAAGTCGACTGAGGAAATCTGCTCGGGTTCACTCAACGTTGGCATGCGAATGTGCCAGTGCAGTCCCTGGTCGGTTTCGCTAATCGACGTGCGTCTCGCTGGATACATTCGTTTTTTTTGGGACGTCGATTAGCGATTTCGACGGGGTGCGCTCGGAATGCGGTGCCGCGTGCGCCCGTGGAGTGCCCCAGCAGCTTTGGCTGAAGGGCGCTTTGCTGAAGGCGGTATTGCCAAGCCTCGATCAGGATCTCGAGACCCAGACCCTTTCGCGCCGTGAGAACACGGCGGCAGGTATTTTTGCTGTTGTCGATCCCATTGGGGCCCGTAGCGAGCCATGGGACCGTCCAAAATCGAATCGGGATGAATAGCTGGTCTTGGGGAGCAGGTCGAGATTTCGGGGGAGCCATGTTTTGAAACATCATCAACCCACGCACCCGTAAAGGAATTTAGAAATGGGCGACGGGCAATTGCAATGCTGAACGTATCGATCGTGATGTACCGTGCCAGAGGCTGTGCTGTGTTGTGCCGTGCTGAATGGGGATGTGCCATGCCGCGATGATATGCATTGTGTTCTATTGCCTGCAGCGTTGTGGATCAAGTTGTCCTCAGCATCCGGATCCTGACCGACTTGTTCTGTCTGCACCTTAAAGCTAGAGTTGCTTGAGCGCATAGCTCGCCCGGAGCTGAGTGCAACAATGCGCGCGGGGCGCTCAACGAGCTCGAGCTCAAGATCCGATTCAGTTCCGGAGCGGGATGAGCCAAGAAGGTGTGAATCTGAACCGAGGTCAAACGCACTGACAGTGGAGTGACCGAGACGCGGCGAACCGGGACGCGACGAACTGAGGCGTGACGACAATACGGACCGAGACGAGGGCCAAACCGACCCTAACCAAATCGGAGCAAAACGAACCGAGATTGGGACTATCCGATTACGTTTCGGCTGACCCTCCTGAAACCGCATGGCGCCTCCTGCCGAGGGGGCCGAACTCCGATGGCCAAGAACCACTCGTAAATTACCAGGGATGGGCACCCCGAGGGCCGCCGTCCTGGTGCAAATTGCGACTGATCTGTGTTTTGGTGACCTGAGTTGCGTTATGCCGTGTTGACGTGTTCCGTGTTCCATCGCGTTGTGGCCCAAGTCGTCTTGAGCATCCGAATCCTCACCGATGATCTGGATCTTAAGTTTCGCGCTGCCTGGACGCATAATTAGCTCGCCCAGAGCTGGTTACAGGCCAGACGTGCGGAGCGCGCAACCAGCTCGAGCTCAAGATCCAGTCCAGTTCCGAAGCGGGACGACCGCAGATCTGCGGCGAGCGAGGGGGGAAGGTGAGAAGGAGCAGGCCCTGTCAGAAGGCAGTAGGGCTTATCAGAAACCCTCCTGCCTTCTGAGAAGTTTGCCATGTCTTCGGGGCAGGCTTAGACAATTTTCCAGAAGGCCAGAGGATTTCCGAGCTCCCCCCCCCCCCCCCTCACTTGCCCCCAGGGCTGGCCACCGAGCAAAAGGAGCGAATCCGAACCGAGGCCGAACGCACCGAAACACTGAGACGGGACGATCCCCTCTGGGTGGCCTAGACACGTGAAGGCACGTGCCATTTGAGCGGGAGCACGACGCATGTTGGATCCCCCTCCGCGTACATATTTCCACGTGCGAAGGGTCCGACGACCTCGTGTTAGATATTTCTCAAGGTGGCCTGGATGCGTGGAACGAGACATCCTCAACGGATTATGCAGAGCAAGCGTTTCGCTCCCGACATCCTCAACATCATTAACACACAGATGATGTAAACCAAGCGTTTCGCTTGAGACATCCTCAACACAAAGTTTGGCAGCCCCCCTCGCCCTCGCTATTTTTTCGTGGGAAGACTCCGCCAGCCAACCTCGGTCGAGGTACCGGGGACAGTCACACATCTGAAAGAGAGCTTTGGGCACGCGCCCTTCCAGGGGAAACATCACGACGTCGGGGTCTGGATCGCCAGACCTCCACAAAGACGCTGGCCCATCGTTGCTCCCAATCGTGGCTCCCATCGCAGTCGATTTCTCAGCTGAAATTCTTGAGTTCCCCCATGCAAATCTCACCGTTCCGAAAAGAAGGAGGAAGCGGGGATACACCCCCAGGGGTGTGTTCGGACGCACCCTCTCTCGGGTGGGTTCCAACCCCGTCGTGCATCTCCGAATTGGGCTCCAAGTGTTTGGCTTGTCCGAAAGCTCACAAAGCTGGGGATCGGGGATCGCCATATCCATTGTGACCGAAGTTGCGGAGACTCGAAGACATCTTTCCTGAGGCTTTTCATCATCCAGTGGCCGTTGTTCGGAGCCAGGTGTGGCAAAACAGCAGCTCGGGACGGAGGGCCGAGGTCCCAGGCATTTCAAGGATCGAGAGGTCCGCTGCCCGGAGGCCCAAAAACACGAAGCTCTCCTTCCAGGAAGGAAACAACAGCAAAGACAGACGTTGTGATTTTCCACATTAAAGTATAAGAACATGGAACATGAAGACGCGAGATCCTGGAAATTGCCTCGATGTGGTTGTGTCTCCCTGGGCCCCTTTGAAGGAGGGCAGCGCCTGCTACGGGCTGGACCCTGCAGTGGAGGTGGCGCTTTGCTGGCCGCACGAGCTTCTGTAAAGTGATACCCCGCGTGCCACTCCAGCCTCAGAGGGAGCACCACTCTGCAGGGGCTGTTCGCCTTCGTGGGCGACCTGGCCACTTCTTTCCATCTTCCCCAGACCTCCAGCGTTTTCGCCGTTCTGAGACGGTGCGGAAGTTATTTGCCGCGTTCGGTATTGGGGCACAGAGCCCCTTCACCGTCAATAAACGGTTCAGGATGAGAAGCTGATCTTGAGGATGGGGTCCAGACCGCCAGTGGCATTGGATTGCGTAAACAATGCCATATTGGGCCCCTACCCCCGCGTCGAGGCTTCAGAATGCGGCTTCGCCATTGCTCGGCATCTTGGGGCATCCTTGCAGCCATGGTTGGATCCGCCTCGAAATCATGGTCAGATCTTACCGCAGGATGGGTGGCGGGGGCAAATGTTTCACATGGGATTTTGCTAAAATGTACGATGGGTAGACCCTCCCGGTTTTCGCAACCTGGGGCCGTTGCACTGGGCTCTGGGATCGTCAACAAAAAACGTGAGAGTTGCGCAAATCACAGGACGCTTGTGAAGTAAACACGACGTGGGAGATTTGTGTTCCTCCCTCCCTCCCTCGTCCCTTCCGTCCCATTCCCCTTCTATTACCCTTCCTCCCTCCTTCCTCGCTCCTCTCTCCCTCCTCCCTCCTTCTCCCCACCCCTCCCTCCTCCTCCTCCTCCTCCTCCTCCTCCTCCTCCTCCTCCTCCTCCTCTTCTCCTCCCTCCACCATGGGCCTCGAGGCCCGCGACCCAAGACGCACAATATCTCCAGCCAGCACGCACGGAATGCACCTGGGAACTCTCTTAGACTAGGCCTGGGGCGCACCATACTCCTCGTCGTGCCCATATCTATCTCACTCCTCCCTTTCTTCCCGTCTTCTCTCCCCCATTCGAGCCCTTCTTCTCATCTACCTCCTCCTCCTCCTCCTCCTCCTCCTCCTCCTCCTCCCCCTCCTCGCTCGCTCGTTACCTAAGGGCCAAAGAGGTTCGAAGCCCCTACATATGGGAAAAAGAGAGAAGGCGAAGACAGTACCCCCTACATGCACGTGCAGAGGAGGGGGGAAGGGTGAGGAGAGGGTATCAGGAGTCGCTTTCCACAGGCCAAACAGAGGCGGCCTGCACCAGAAGCTCCGTGGCGAGACTCCTCCTCCTCCTTCTCCTCCTCCTCCTTTCTCTTCATTTCTCTTCCTGTCTCTTCCTTGCTCCGCATCCTCTTCCTCCTCCCCCCCTCCTCCAGTTCCTCCTCCTGGATCGGGGAAGGCCGTGCGACATCTGTAGACCGCGTTTGCGAGAGAGGACCTGTGAGCAGCCAGCAATCGCGCCCGCCTCATCAGGCAATGTCTGGCAATTTGAACATGTCTGGACTTACGGCAGACTCCGGAGACCTCAGAAGGCCTCTAGGCAGCTCTGGAGGCACCCAGGTATTTCCAGAGGCCTCTGAGGGCCATCGCCCTTCTTTCCGCACCCATACCCCGTACGTAGCCGTTCTTTGGCTCAGACCATTTTGACATTAAATGTTTCGCACATCTGCCCTTGTGTTCGTCACGCGCAACCCGCGGATGGAAGCGATGCTTCTGCAGCGGTCGCACATGATGACCTTTTTGGGCTTGTGCTGCGCCTGCCTCGCTCCGGGAGTGCACAGTGCCAGTCCCGCGTGCCCAGGGGAGTTTACCGTGCCTGGCTACGGCAGTGTGCAGCTGGTTCCCACTGGATGGGTTGGCAGCAGCTTTGTGCCTGTGGATGTGGCCAACGGCAGTACACTGGTCGCTCACATGGATGCTCGTGCTTACTTCGCCGACGAGTGCTCGGCGGGGAAGTACGACAACGAGCAGTACCTTGCCCTAAATCTCTTGGGGAAGGTGCTGGGCTACAGCGTCGACCTCTCAGGAGCGGGGTGCGGGTGCAACGCGGCGCTCTACCTCACGTCCATGCGCCAGAACACGGCACCGTCGCAGTGCTCCGACTATTATTGTGACGCCAACAACGTTTGCGGCGAGTCGTGTGCCGAGATCGACGTCCAGGAGGCCAATCAGCTGGCCTGGCACTCCACGCTCCACGCCGCGACCGACCCGAGCGGGGTGGGCGGTGGCTACGGCGGGGGCGACAGCTGGACGGGCCCGAGGGACTGGGGCTCCGCAGAGTATGGCGAAGGCGCCAGGTGCGTGGACACGGCGCGCCCCTTTCGGGTGGAGGCCGCGTTCCCCGTGGACGACGAAGGCTCGCTGGTGGCCATGGAGGTGACGCTGTCCCAGCCGGGCAAGCCGTGCAACGTGTCCGTGCGCCTCGGCTCGTACGCCGGCATGGCCGAGCTCTCGCGCGCCCTCGAAGCCGGCATGACCCCCATCGTGAGCTACTGGAGCGCGACGGACATGCTGTGGATGGACGGCAAGGGCGCCGACGGCAAGGGCCCGTGCGCCGTGGACGACATCAAGGCATGCGGCGAGACGGTCACGTTCCACAACTTCTCCGTGGCCCCCATCGGCACCCCCGCGCCGCCGGCCATGCACTCGCAAAGCAATGCTTCTTCGGGGCCGAAGGCGAACGCGGCAGTCGCGTGCCCCGGCGAGTTCGACATGCCGGGCTACGGGCCGGTGCAGCTCATCCCGACCGGCTGGGCTGACCCAGAGGGCCTGAAGCCCGTGGACGTGTCCGAGCACGGGGAGCTCGTGGCGCACATGGGCGGGCGCGCTTACTTCGCCGACGAGTGCACGCCGGGGAAGTACGACAACAAGCAGTATCGAAGACGCCTACGGCGAACCACCGCCGCCCCTTGTCGTTTGGTAGCGCCCATGCGGCCACACGTTGGGCCAAAGTCTGGCCAAGCTATTACTGTATGTTCCCCCAGCCCTCTTGTAAAACCCCCTGCGGGAACATCTGGGAGAGAGAAAGGAGGATGAGAGGGAGGACGAGGAGGAGGAGGAGGAGGAAAACCAGTGTAAACCCAAGAGTCACCAAATATGTTGGAGTAAACACTCCCCCCAAGCTCCCTCTTCATAGGCCCCTACAACGGTTCATTTCGACAGCGAAACCTGCCTCGTTGGGAGACAACCGTTTGAAGACCCTGAAGCATGCCAAAACATTAATCTCGGTATTCCAACGCCACGGATGAACCTGATTGTTGCGTGTTGACGATCGGGAATCGTGCCAAAACGCCGTTCCTGGGACCTCAACTCCGCGAATCATCGTAACTGTTGCGCCCTCAAAATCGTCAACCCTTCGAAAACACTATGTCTGGTACGCCAACCATGGGAACCCGTGAAACTCTTGCAATGTTTTAACATTTGTGTGCGCGGCGCTAAGGCTAGAGCCGTGGTTTGAAAGGAACCGCCTGCAATCCGTGAAACTCTTGCAATCTTTTAGCACGAGTATTAATGGCGCTATGGCGAGAGCCACATTTTGAAAACGACCCGCCTTCAATCCGTGAAGTTGTTGCAAACGTTGCAAAATTATGTGCGCGGCCCTCAGGCAAGAGCCACATGTTGAACACCACCCGCCCTCAATCCGTGAAGCTCGTACACATGTTGAAAGCGAATGTGCGCGGCGCTCAGGCGAGAGCCATATTTTGAAAACCACCCGCCCTCAATCCGTGAAGATCTTGCAAATGTTTAAAACGAATTTGCGCGGCGCTAAGGCGAGAGCCACATTTTGAAAACGACCCTCCGTCCACCTGTGAACTTGCTGTCAATGTTTAAGCTTCAGGTTCATAAACGGTTAGGAAGTCCCAGGCAAAACGACCAGCCCGCCCTAAAAATTGGCCCCGGGGTGCGACAGGGAGAAATTATCTACAAGGAGAAGGAATGGAGGAGGAGGAGGAGGAGGAGAAGGTGACCTCTTAAGATTGTCCTGCGGCTTCAGAAGGGGGCTTCCTGTGAAACTCGTTAGGGGCCTCTTGGGTTTGGGGGGCCTTTGGGGCGCCTCTAAGGGGCTTTTTTTGTGCTTTACGGCTGCGTTGGAGCCCTCTAGGGGCCGTCTTGGGCCGTCTGGGAAGCGTCTTTGGCCGTCTTAGGAGCCTCGCGGGCCGTCTGGGGCGCTTCCACGGGGCCTGGAGGGCCGTCTTGGGGCAATATTGGGGGGATCTTGGGCCGTCTTGGAGCGTCGGAAGCCCGCAAAGGAGGGAACGCTGACATCTTTCAAAACTTCTTGGGGCTCTCTCTCTCTTTCCTGGGAGGCCTTCTGGTACGTATGTAGGCCTCTTGGGGCCCTCCTGGGAGGCCTCTTGGGGCCCTGCTCTGAGTTACGCACCCCCACCCTCCTCCCCCCCGTGCTCCGAATTTGGTCTCCCGCTCCCCCCCTCCCCTTCCCGTGCACTGAATTATGTCCCCCCCCCCTCCCTCCCCGTACATCTCTCGTGCTCCGAATGAGGCCCCCCCCCATTTCCTCCCCCTGTGCTCTCAATCATACGCTCCCCCTCCCCTCCCGTGCTCCGAATTACATCTCCCGCCCCCGGTGCTCTGAGTTACGTCCCCCCCGTCCCCCCCCAGTGCTCCGAATGACGTCCCGCCCGCCCCCCCCCCGTGCTCTGAGTTACGCCCCCCCCCCCCCCCCCCTCTCGTGCTCCGAATTACGCCCCCCCCCCCCCCACGAGCTCCGAAGTAGGTCCCCCCCCCCGGGCACTAAATTACGTCCCCCGCCCCCCCCCGAGCTCCGAATTTGGTCCCCCCGCCCCCCCCCGTCGTGCACTAAATTACATCCCCCCCGCTTCTTGGGGGCCTCTTGGGCCGTCTTGAGGCCATCTTGGGCATCTTGGAGCGCTCTTAGACCGACACTCGTGGCCCTCTTGGACTGTCGTGGGGGCGTCTTGGCCCGTCGTGGTGCGCTCGTGTCTCTCGGAAACGGCCAGCAGGGACATGCTGGGCACGCGACAAGCCCCAGGAGGCACGCAGCACGCCTCAGGAGATCCAGGACTTGGGGGTCTGGGCCACTGGACACGACTCGATCCTCAGGACTGAGGGCAGAAGGTTCAAGGGACCTGCGGACATTCCAACTCGTGCCTCGCGGCACGTTGGCGGATCTTGCCCTAAATCTCTTGGGGAAGGTGCTGGGCTACAGCGTCGACCTCTCAGGAGCGGGGTGCGGGTGCAACGCGGCGCTCTACCTCACGTCCATGCGCCAGAACACGGCACCGTCGCAGTGCTCCGACTATTATTGTGACGCCAACAACGTTTGCGGCGAGTCGTGTGCCGAGATCGACGTCCAGGAGGCCAATCAGCTGGCCTGGCACTCCACGCTCCACGCCGCGAACGACCCGAGCGGGGTGGGCGGTGGCTACGGCGGGGGCGACAGCTGGACGGGCCCGAGGGACTGGGGCTCCGCAGAGTATGGCGAAGGCGCCAGGTGCGTGGACACGGCGCGCCCCTTTCGGGTGGAGGCCGCGTTCCCCGTGGACGACGAAGGCTCGCTGGTGGCCATGGAGGTGACGCTGTCCCAGCCGGGCAAGCCGTGCAACGTGTCCGTGCGCCTCGGCTCGTACGCCGGCATGGCCGAGCTCTCGCGCGCCCTCGAAGCCGGCATGACCCCCATCGTGAGCTACTGGAGCGCGACGGACATGCTGTGGATGGACGGCAAGGGCGCCGACGGCAAGGGCCCGTGCGCCGTGGACGACATCAAGGCATGCGGCGAGACGGTCACGTTCCACAACTTCTCCGTGGCCCCCATCGGCACCCCCGCGCCGCCGGCCATGCACTCGCAAAGCAATGCTTCTTCGGGGCCGAAGGCGAACGCGGCCGTCGCGTGCCCCGGCGAGTTCGACATGCCGGGCTACGGGCCGGTGCAGCTCATCCCGACCGGCTGGGCTGACCCAGAGGGCCTGAAGCCCGTGGACGTGTCCGAGCACGGGGAGCTCGTGGCGCACATGGGCGGGCGCGCTTACTTCGCCGACGAGTGCACGCCGGGGAAGTACGACAACAAGCAGTATCGAAGACGCCTACGGCGAACCACCGCCGCCCCTTGTCGTTTGGTAGCGCCCATGCGGCCACACGTTGGGCCAAAGTCTTGCCAAGCTATAGCCCTCTTGTGGAACCCCCTGTGGGAACATCTGGGAGAGAGAAAGGAGGAGAAGGAGGAGGAGGAGGAGGAGGAGGAGGAGGAGGAGGAGGAGGAGGAGGAGGAGAAGGTGGTGACCTCTTAAGGTTGTCCTGTGGCTTCATGGGGGCTTCCTGTGAGACTCTTTTGGGGCCTCTTGGGTTTAGGGGGCCTCTGGGGCGCCTCTTAGGGGCCTTTTTTGGTGCTTTACGGCTGCGTTGGAGCCCTCCAGGGGCCGTCTTGGGCCGTCTGGGAAGCGTCTTTGGCCGTCTTAGGAGCCTCGTGGGCCGTCTGGGGCGCTTCCACGGGGCCTGGAGGGCCGTCTTGGGGCAATATTGGGGGGATCTTGGGCCGCCTTGGAGCGTCGGAAGCCCGAAAAGGCGGGAACGTTGACATCCTTCAAAACTTCTTGGGGCTCTCTCTCTCCTGGGAGGCCTCCTGGTACGTACGTAGGCCTCTTGGGGCCCTCCTGGGAGGCCTCTTGGGGCTTCTTGGGGGCCTCTTGGGCCGTCTTGAGGCCATCTTGGGTCTTGAATGGCCTCCGGCCAGTGCCGCCGATCCGAGGCGCTCCAGATGCTGATGGTTGACACGACGACGACGGCGACGACGACGACGACGATGACGACCTCGACGCCGACAACGGACAACTTACGACTAACGGGAGGAGGGAGGCGGGAGGCGGGAGGTGGGTGGCGGGAGGCGGGAGGAGGGGGAGGGAGGAGGGAGGAGTGAGGAGAGAGGAGGGAGTAGGGAGTAGGGAGAGGATGGGGAGGAGGCGGAGGAGGAGGAGGAGGAGGACGAGGACGAGGAGGAGGAGGAGGAGGAGCAGCAGGAAGAGCAGGATGAGGAGGGAGGAGGAGGAGGAGGAGGAGGAGGAGGAGGATGGGAGCGAGGATGAGGATGAAGATGAGGACAATGATGATGCTGATGATGATGATGATGATGATGATGATGATGATGATGATGATGATGATGATGATGGCGATGATGCTGCTGATGATGCTGATGATGATAGTAATGCTGATGATGCTGATGATGATGCTGCTGATGATGATGCTGATGATGGTGATGGTGGTGGTGTTGTCGATGTTGATGATCATGAGGAGGATGCTGATGATGCTGACGATGACGATGATGATGATGATGATGATGATGATGATGATGATGATGATGATGATGGTGATGGTGATGGTGATGGTGATGGTGATGGTGATGATGATAATGATGATGATGATGATGATGATGATGATGATGATGGTGATGATGTTGATGATGATTATGATGATGATGATGATGATGATGCTGATGATGATGATGATGATGATGGTAATGGTGGTGCTGGTTCGAAGGAGAAGGAGGCGGATGAGGAGGACGAGGAGGAGATGGAGGAGGAGCAAGGAATTGCATGATGATGATTGTGATGATGATGCTGATGAGGATGATGCTGATGAGGATGGTGATGATGATGATAGCGATGGTAATGATGATGCTGAGTATGATGCTGCTGCTGATGCTGACGATGATGATGATGCTGCTGATGATGACGATGATGGTGATGATGCTGATGATGACGATGATGTTGATGATGATGATGCTGGTGCTTATGCTGATGCCGATGCTGATGCTGATGATGATGCTGATGCTGCTGATGATGCTGACGATGATGATGCTGATGCTGATGCTGATGAGGACGAGGATGAGGATGAGGATGAGGCTGATGATGACTATGATGATGATGATGCTGACGATGATGATGATGATGATGATGATGATGATGATGATGATGATGATGATGATGATGATGAGGATGAGGATGAGGATGAGGATGAGGATGAGGATGAGGATGAGGATGAGGATTGATGATGATGCTGATGATGCTGATGCTGATGATGACGATGATGATGCTGATGGTGATGGTGATGGTGATTGTTGATGATGGGATGAGGATGAGGATGAGGATGAGGATGAGGATGAGGATACGGAGGAGGAGAAGGAGGAGGAGAAGGGGAGGAAGAGGAGGAGGAGGGGGAGAAGAGGAGGAGGAGGAGGAGGAGGAGGAGGAGGAGGAGGAGGAGGACGACGACGAGGAGGACGAGGACGAGGACGAGGGACGAGGACGAGGAGGAAGGAGGAAGGAGGCGGAGGAGGAGCCCCCCCCAGCAGAGCGACCCCCCCCCTGGCTCCCGAGCACTGACCCCCCCCCGTGCTCCGAATTAGGTCCCCCCCCCGTGCACTGAAGTGCGTTCCGGCCCCCTCCTCCCCGTACTCCTCCCGTGCTCCGAATTAGGTCCCCCCCCCTCTCATCCCCCTGTGCTCTCACTGTTGCGCCCCCCCTCCCTCCACCCGTGCTCAGAATTACGCCCCCCCCCTCCCCCTCCGTGCTCTGAGTTACGTCCTTCCCCTGAGTTACGCTCCCCCCCCCGCCCCGGTGATCTGGATTGTAATGATGATCCCCCCCACCCCTTCCCCGTGCTCCAGTTAGGTCCAGGCCCCCTCCCCCCCCGTGTCCTCCGAGTAGGTCCCGCACCTCCCTCCCTCGTGCACTGATTAGAAACCCCCCCCCCTCACCCCATTCCTCCCGTGCTCTGTATTACCGTCCCCCCCCCCCGCCCCGGTGCTCCGAATTACGTCCCCCCCCCCCACCCGTATTCCGCCCGTGCTCCGAATGAGGCTCTCCCCCCCCTCCCCCCCTCCTCCCCGGGTTCCTCTATGTTAGCCCCCCCTCCTCTCCTGTGCCTCCGATTAACGTCCCCACACGGGTCCCCCCCCCCCTGTGCTCTCTAGTAACGCCCCCACCCCCCTCCCATCCTCCAGTGCTCCGAATTTCGTCCCCGAAATATACGCCCTACCCCCGGCTCTGAGTTTGCGCCCCCCCGCCCCCCCTCCCCCCGTGCTTCCGAATTAGGTCTCCCCGCTCCCCCCATCCCCTTTCCCGTGCACTTGACATTACGTCCCCCCCTCCCTACCCGTACATCCTCTCGTGCTCGCGAATGAGGCCCCCCTGCCCCATTTCCTCCCCCTGTGCTCTCATCATATACGTCTCCTTCCCCTCGCCTTGCTCCGAATTACATCTCCTCCCATCCGGTGCTCTGAGTACGTCCCCCGTCCCCCCCCAGTGCTCGAATGACGTCCCGCCCCCCCCCCCCCCCGTGCCTCTGAGTTACGCCCCCCCCCCCCCCCTCTCGTGCTCCGAATTACGTCCCCCCCCCCACCCACCCGCAGCTCCGAAGTAGGTCCCCCCCCGTGCACTAAATTAACGTCCCCGCCCCCCCCCCCCCCGAGCTCCGAATTTGGTCCCCCCCCATGCCCCCCCCGTCGTGCACTAAATTACATCCCCCCCGCTTCTTGGGGGCCTCTTGGGCCGTCTTGAGGCCATCTTGGGCATCTTGGAGCGCTCTTAGACCGACACTCGTGGCCCTCTTGGACTGTCGTGGGGGCGTCTTGGCCCGTCGTGGTGCGCTCGTGTCTCTCGGAAACGGCCAGCAGGGACATGCTGGGCACGCGACAAGCCCCAGGAGGCACGCAGCACGCCTCAGGAGATCCAGGACTTGGGGGTCTGGGCCACTGGACACGACTCGATCCTCAGGACTGAGGGCAGAAGGTTCAAGGGACCTGCGGACATTCCAACTCGTGCCTCGCGGCACGTTGGCGGATCTTGCCCTAAATCTCTTGGGGAAGGTGCTGGGCTACAGCGTCGACCTCTCAGGAGCGGGGTGCGGGTGCAACGCGGCGCTCTACCTCACGTCCATGCGCCAGAACACGGCACCGTCGCAGTGCTCCGACTATTATTGTGACGCCAACAACGTTTGCGGCGAGTCGTGTGCCGAGATCGACGTCCAGGAGGCCAATCAGCTGGCCTGGCACTCCACGCTCCACGCCGCGAACGACCCGAGCGGGGTGGGCGGTGGCCACGGCGGGGGCGACAGCTGGACGGGCCCGAGGGACTGGGGCTCCGCAGAGTATGGCGAAGGCGCCAGGTGCGTGGACACGGCGCGCCCCTTTCGGGTGGAGGCCGCGTTCCCCGTGGACGACGAAGGCTCGCTGGTGGCCATGGAGGTGACGCTGTCCCAGCCGGGCAAGCCGTGCAACGTGTCCGTGCGCCTCGGCTCGTACGCCGGCATGGCCGAGCTCTCGCGCGCCCTCGAAGCCGGCATGACCCCCATCGTGAGCTACTGGAGCGCGACGGACATGCTGTGGATGGACGGCAAGGGCGCCGACGGCAAGGGCCCGTGCGCCGTGGACGACATCAAGGCATGCGGCGCGACGGTCGCGTTCCACAACTTCTCCGTGGCCCCCATCGGCGCTGTGCCCGCTGCGATCGCCGGCGCCGTGCCGACTCCTGCCGGCACGGGCGGCGGCTCTGTGGACGACCGCTCCGAGTGCGCGGAAACGTACGAGGAGAATTGCGCAGGCAAGCAGTGCTGCAAGTCGGCAGGCATGCAGTGCTACGTGAAGAACGAGTGGTGGGCGGCGTGCAGGGAGGCCTGCGTGCCTGGCTCCACGGACGACAGGGACCCAGAGTGGGCCAGGGCTCCCTGGAGCTGCGTGGCCCTTGGGCCGCGTGCGCCCACAGCCAGCAGCGGCGCGAATGGCATCAATGCCTCCCGCAGCCGCCAGCACGGCAAAGAGACAGCGGCCACAGGCCGAGTCGTGGTCAAGGCCTGGGCGGAAGATGTGCTGGCCGAGGTGGAGCAGGGCAGCGAGATCACGCTGCTCGTTGGCGGCCAGGAGGTCCGAGCGGAGGTGATGATCACCGGTCCTGCGAACTTGGGCAAGCACGCCTTCGTGGAGTAGCTTAGGCTGTTCTGGCCTCTGGCTCCGCCTAGAGAGGGGGACACAGAGTCGGGGGGATAGGAGCGGGGAGAGGAAGGGGCGAATGGGGAGGGTCCAGCGGAGCCGCCAGCCTGGCATTCGGGACCAGGCCCTCTCGTCGCACTGGCCGCGAGCGCAGCAGTCACGACCCCCCAGGAGCAGCTTGGCTACCTGGATGTTTTTCTTGACAGTCTGCCGTCAGCGCTGACGCCGATGCGCCATTTTTTCACGCGGGGGCCTCGATGGCCCAGGGCCTGCGGTATGCGGGACCTGGAGCGCCAGGCGATCATCCCGGGATGATGTTCCCGACGAGGGCGTAACCGATCGGGCTTGGAGCTTCATTCCGAGAACTCAAGCTTGAAGTTTGGCAACGCTTCTTCCAATGAGTCAACCCGCGAGGACCCATCCACCGTTTAATCAAGAGGCTCACGTACACTATCCCGCCGACCCCCATAACAGTGAATTCATGAAGAAACGTGCTAGCGTGCCTGGCCTGTGTGTGAAGAGCCTCGGGGATGCATGAGGGTCTCCTAGAATGCCTCTCAGGGGCCTCTTTGAGAGCTCTGGGGGGCATCTGATTGGTTTGGGGGGCCTCACGGGGGCCTCTTGCGGGCCTCTTGGAAGTCTCTCGGGGTCTCTCGGTGGCGCCTCCAGGGTCACTGGGGCTGGTGGGGCCATCGCGACGGGAAAGACCCGAGATGTCAGTGCGTATTGCCCATCTTGGGCCCCTCTTGGGGCCTTCCTGGGTCGTCTTAGGGGCCTCTGGTGTCCTCTTGGGCCCTCTTGGGGCTCTATTGCGAAGGCCTTACGGCTGGTGCCGCCGACCTTGAAGACGACGAAAGCGGAGCAGGAGGAGGAGGAGGAGGAGGCAGAGGAGGTGCTCCCCGCCCCGGGGCATCTGGGTGGGACCCCCCCCCTGGGGGAGGGGATCAAAGGGAAGGGGCTTCCCTTCGAGTAACTACGAGGTTGCTCAGATTGGCTTCCCCCTGCGTCGCGGCCGCTCCCCTCCCCCGAAGGGAGCTGCCCGGGTGCCCCCCCACCCTCGGGCATCCGGGTGGGACCCCCCCCCCAGGGGGAGAGGATGAAAGGGAAGGGGCTTTCCTTTGAGTAACTACGACGTTGCTCAGATTGGCTTCCCCCCGTGTCGCGGCCGCTCCCCTCGCCCAGGGGGAGCTATCCGGGTGGGAGCCCCCCCGGGGGAGGGGATCAAAGGGGGTTCCCCTTCGAGTAACTACGAGGTTGCTCAGATTGGCTTCCCCCCGCGTCGCGGCCGCTCCCCTCCCCCGAAGGGAGCTGCCCGGGTGCCCCCCCCCTCTCTCGGGTATCCTTCTTGGGGCTGTATTTTGCCGTCTTGGGGCCTTCGTGGGGGCTTCGAGAGTGGGCCTTCCTTGGACGCTGTCAAGACGAAAAAGGCGTGTGTTTCGAAAGTGCACGTTTTCTCTTTAAGGATTGGGACGAGTTTTGCCTCTTGGGGCTCTCTCGGCTGGCTGCCCTCTGTGAGCACTCCTGGGCCGCCTTGGGGGCCTCGTAGGCTGTCTTGATGCCATCTTGGACCGTCGCGGGGTTTGCTTGGGCCTTCACGACGCTCTCTTCATTGTATCGGCGCTCATTGGGCCGTCTTGGAACTCTTTGGAGGCTCCAGAGGGTCCCTGGGGTGCGTTGACGAGCTCGTCTCCCTCCACCCAGGCCCCTCCCCCTCTAAGCCATGTTTCGCCCCAAGGGAGAGAGAGAAAACCAATCACTTTATACGCCATTTTAACCCCAGCAGGGGGGGGGGGTCGGCGGATTTTATTCAATTTGGCCTACAAGTGCAGGAGCGCAGCGATCCACCCTCGTCCCACATGCTGCGGCTCAGCGCACTTTTTTTTCCTAGCGGCCCGCTTGCCAGCGAGTGGCCCGTCCAGGGACCGCTCCACCTCCCAAACCTCCAGGCTGGCTCTAGTTTGAGCGTGCTGGCATAGTCAGCCTCGCATCGTCGGCCTGGAGTGGCGTTATCTCATACGCATGCACACACTCCAAGACCCGATCACATGCGATATGGATGCGTTGTGCGCCGGCGTAAAGCAGCCTTGTCGTCTAAAGTCTGAAAGCGTCGTTCCGCGATGCAGCCTACCAGTGTTCCGCGTGATACGGTTTGTATTGCGCGTGTTGATGTGAGACTTGCTTGTTCCCAGACCTCCAACGGCTTGATTTTTTCGAGTCGCCGGCTCTCAGATTTGTCGACCCCTTCCCTTGGACGAAATGTTCGTCCTATAGATTGGCGTTTCATGGTCCTGGGCCCTGGAAGCGGCCCCCCGAGCCCGAATATCTCCCTACCTGCAACTTCCGGGCTAGGGTTTCCGACGCGCCAGAGGTTTGGGTTCGCTGTCGTTCTGACCATACCGCTCCTGACATATACGATTCGGCACGGCTCCAGGACTTGTTTCCTTCTTTGTGGCGAAGGCTTGAACGTCTTGTGTAGCCTTAGCTGGTCGAGAATGTGGGGAAGGAGTTTTTCCAGCTTCAACAGCCGCATGCACCAGGAACCCATTCGAGAGTCTCCTCCTTCTCCGAGGAGGAGAATACTTTGAGGAGAGGAGAGGAGGAACATGAGCATGAGCGGGAGACGAGAGGTGGAGGAGGAGGAGAGGGAGGAGGAGGGAGGAGGAGGAGGAGGAGGAGCAGGAGCAGGAGCAGGAGCAGGAGCAGGAGCAGGAGCAGGAGCAGGAGCAGGAGCAGGAGTAGGAAAGGAGAGGAGGGGGAGACGTGGCGCGCCAAGGACCCAAGGACCCAGGGGATGGGGGGAGGAAACAGAGAACGCGGGCTTGATGTGATGCGGCTTTGGGGCGCCTCAAACCTGCTGGTGGCCCAGCTTCCTGGTGGCACCACCCTGGAACGCACTGCGGTCGCCAGCGCCCGTCGCGGCTGATGCTCAACATCAGACAGAAGGTCCCCCCCTGACGATCTGACGCGGCCCGAGGTTCGCATGGCGCTGTTGTGCGTCCTGGCGCGGCCGATTTGACTCGATTCCGACGCCGTGCCGATGCGGCCCGATCGGGTTCTCGTCCCGATATGAGCTGAATACCCGATCCGATGCTGACTGCTGATCCTGCCCTCGCAGACTGTGTCTCCGAGTTCCCACTAACAGCAATCCGGCCGTTTGGAGCAGAGGGGGGACTCGGAGACACACACCCAGGGAGGTCTTTCGGACGCGCTCCCTCTCGAGCGCGGATGCCCCCCCTATCGCACAACTCCTGGCTTGGTCCTAACCTGTTCGCCTGGCCGAGAGTGCCAGAAAGTCGGGGACCGTGGTTCGCCCGCACCCTCCCCCCGACAGGGCCCACTCCCCAGACATACGACGTCATGATCTTTTCATAACATGGGCACCTTGAGGTTACCGTTTATAAGCCCCTTGCTCGGGACCGTTTCGTCCAGGGTAGCTGTTTGACGGCCCCAGGGCCCGGGAAGCGCTTCCTAGGGGTCGAAAAGAAGAACAAATCTTCCATTGCAATGTTTGCGCGACGCGAGCATGCCTCGAGGAACATCAAATAATATAAACATAAACTGTGGGAGGTCCGTGGGATTCGTTGGAATGGTGCTGGACCGCCAGGGGCGGCGCCGGAGGCACCTCCAGGGGCTCCAGCGCTTATCTTAGAAATTCGCGCGGAGTTTGTCATTATTCGTTCCCCCAGATACCGACCGACCCGAGATCCCACATCGGGGCGACACCGCTCCGACCATGCTGGAAAACGGTTAAAAAAACGCCCGTTGCCATTTTTGCCCAGCGCGAGCCTGCCTGGGTCCGATACCGACCGATCCGCGCCGACGCCGGTCCGACCCTGAGATCCGATGTTGCGAAAACCTCAGCCCTGGACCCCATCGTTTAGCAGTCTTTGTCGAGCCGGATCGATCTGCGAGGGCCCCTGGGCCCGACACATGGCAAAATCGACCGTTGTGAAAAAATGCGCCGCCAGGATCTCAGGGGACGTCGGTCCGTTGTCGCTCCGGCCAGAGGTCGCTGGCCGCCCCGCGCAGCAGCAAGCACCGGCCCGCCTTGGCGCTTGGGCTTGGCTCGCCGCGCGGCGCGCGCCCGGGCAGCGGCGACGCCCGCCGCCCAGATGACACGAGTCGAGGCATTTAAGGAGGGGCCTCGTCTTCGAGGATCGAACCCAGACATGCTTGCGTTCTGGAAAAGTCTTGACAAGAGGTTTTTGGGGCGTGCCTGGGCGTCTGGGGGGGCCTTACTGGGCCCCGGGGCCGTTCAACAGCAAAATGGCCAGGATGAAAAGCTGATCCAGGGGCAAGGGTCGAGATTTCTGGAGATTCCGCATGGAAGAAATCAGGACATCGCATGCCAGGCGCTATTGTGCATCTTGGAGCGGCCGATACGACTCGGTTCCGACCCCGTGACGATGCGACCCGGTTTGTCGACTCGATGCCGACCGCCTTTGCCATGAAGGAGAGGGGTCATCAGGCGTCCTGAGTGTTTAAACGTTTCTGGCATCCGCTCAGCGGCGTACCCTCGCCGATCAACGATTCAGGCAACTCGATGGGTGGCGGCGGTAGGATTCGGAATTCGTCGAACACGTGGCGAAATCCGACCCTCACCCCGCCTCCCATCGATTTACGATCCGATGGGTGGCGGTGGTAGGGCTCGGATGTCGGATGTCGCCACCTATCCACGGGGAGGCCGTGAAACACTGGCTCGTGATGACGAGCTGGTCCTTGGGAAGGCTTCCCCCCAGCAAGTACAGGGCCCATTTCCGCCACGGTCTGTGGCCTTCGTGACAGGGTTCGTTGTCGTCGTGGTCGCCCCCTGTTCGACAGGATTCTACAGACCAAGCCTCCAGATATTCGTAGCACGAATCGCGGCGGCGACAAAGACCGCCCCTGCCCCCAGGCCTCGCCTGGGCGACTAGGTTTGATCGTCAGGGCTGTAGCTGATGACGCGCAGGCCAGAGAAGGGGGAAGTGGGAGGTGGTAGGGGGAGGATAGCGAGGAGGAGGATGAAGGGAGTGGACGGAAAGGAGGACATTGAGGAGGAGCAGAGGGAGGAGGA